GCCAAAATATCAACATTAGCAAAATTGAAAAAAGTTGATTTGAACCTTCATGGATGATTTGAAAGGGTTCGAGACTTTAGTGGTGCGAGTACGTAACTACAGATGTGGTGGAAATAGCAAGAAAACTAGAATTAGAAGTGGAACCTGAAGGTGTAGTTGAATTGCTGCAATGTCATGCCAAAACTTGAACAAATGAGGAGTTGTTTCTTATGGATGGGCAAAGAAAACGGTTTCTTGAGATAGAATCTACCCCTGGTGAAGATTCTGTGAACATTGTTGTAATGACAACAAAGGATTTAGAATATTCCATAAACATAGTTGATAAAGTAGTGGCAGGGTCGGAGAGGATTGACTCCAATTTTTTTTTTTTTTTTTTGAGACCAAGTCTCGCTCTGTCATCAGGCTGGAGTGCAGTGGCACAATCTTGGCTCACTGCACCCTCTGCCGCCCGGGTTCAAGCGATTCTCCTGCCTCAGCCTCCTGAGTAGCTAGGACTACAGGCACGCGCCACCACGCCCAACTAATTTTTGTATTTTTGGTAGAGACGGGTTTCACCACATTGGCCAGGATGGTCTCGATCGCTTGACCTCGTGATCTGCCTGCCTCGGCCTTCTCAAAGTGCTGGGATTACAGGCGTGAGTCACGCTCCCAGCCTTGACTCCAATTTTGAAAGTTCTACTCTGGGTGAATGCTGTCAAACAGCACATGCTACAGAGAAATCTTTTGTGAAAAGGAAAGTCAGTCAGTGTGGCAAACTTCATTGTTGTCTTAGCACAGCCACACCAACCTTTAGCAACCACCACTCTGACAGTCAGCAGCTGTCAACATTGAGACAAGACCCCTTAGTTGGGTACAGTGGCTTACACCTGTAATTCCAGCACTTTGGGAGGCCAATGTGGGAGGATTACTTGAGCCCAAGAGTTCAAGATCAGCCTGGGCAACATAGCAAAACTTTGTCTTTCCTAAAAATAAAAATAAAAGCCTGGCACGGTGGTCTGCACCTGTAGTCTCAGCTACTTGGGAGGTTGGTGGGAGGATTGCTTGGACCCAGGAGTTGGAGGCTGCAGTGAGCTGATTGTGGCACTGCATTCCAGCCTGGGCTACAGAGGAAGACCATGTCTCAAAAAGAAAAAAAACAAAGACACCCGACCCTTAGCAAAAAGTTTATGACTTGCTAAAGGCTCAGATGATCACTAGCATTTTTGGGCAATAAAGTATTTTAAAATTAAAGTATGTACTTGTTTGTTTAGACATAATGCTATTGTGCACAATACATTGCAGTATAGTGTAAATATAATTTTATATGTACTGGGAAATCAAAACATTTGCGTGACTCACTTTAACATATTTACTTTATTATGATGGTCCAGAACTGAACCCACAATATCTCTGAAGTATTCCTGTAACAGCTTTATCAAGATACATCTCACATACCATACAATTGACTCATTTAAAGTACACCATTCCATGGTTTTTAGTATAAGCCCAGAGTTGTGCAGTCATCACCGCAAACCATTTTAGAAAACTTTTACCATCCCCAAAAGAAATCCTGTACCCGTTAGTGGTCACTCCCTCTTTTACTCAGCTCTGGAACCACTGTTCTCTCTCTATAGATTTGCCTTTTCTGGACATTTTATATAAATGAAATCATACAATATGTGGCCTTTTGTGATGCTTCTTTCACTTAGCATGTTTTCAAGATTCATCTATTTTGTAGAATATGCATATCTTATGTGAACTATTGTTCAAGTCTTTTGCCAAATTTTTAGTTGGGTTCCTTTTTAAATATAGAGTTATAAGAGTTCTTTATATATTTTGGATACAGTCCTTTGTCTTTGTCAGTTATAGTATTGCAAGTATTTTTTTCCACTGTGGCTTGCCTGGTAGGTAAGTGTTTGACACATAGAGTAACTGTTACCTCCAAGGCTATGACTCATAAGCCTATCAACAAAAGGGCTTTACTGGAATTTCTTCTTTGCTTGGTAAACTAGCTCCTACAGTAAGAAAAAGGGTGCTAAATTTTGATCCTTTTAAAAAATTTATTTTATTCAGACCAAAAATTGATTTTCAAAGCAATAAACAAAGTACTCGTAAAGATCAAATTACACTAATAAGAAACCACAACTAAAAGTTATTCAAATACCTAATAGAACATTCGTTTAGGTGTGGAGGTTATTTGTGTATTTTTTATTTTCTGTTTCCAGCATGTTTAGAACATAAAAGTCATTCTTCACCTATTGCACTTATTGATGAAAAATCTACAAATGATCATTTATCACTTCCACAAAAGAGTCCATCTCTGGCAAAAGAAGTACCAGATCTATGTTTTTCTGATGAATATTTCTCTGACAAAAGAGCAGCAAAAGAAGAAAAACCAAAGAATGACCAAGAACCAGTAAATAGAATAATCCAAAAGAAAGAAAATGAAGATCACTTTGAACTTGACTGCACAGGACCATCTGTTAAATCATCTTCCTCTTCAATAGTTAAAAAAGCATCTTTTGAACATGGTAAAAAACAAGAGAATGATTTGGACCTTTTGAGTGACTTTATTATGCTGCGAAATAAATATAAGACTTGCACCTCAAAGACTGAAGTCACAAACAGTGATGGAAAACATGGTAGGTAATTTAATAATGTTTTGCCATAGATATGGTAGGCTCAAAG